TTTCTCCTAGGCAGTGACAATATAAACACTATAAGGGTACAGATGTTCATCCTTTCACTCTAATGAATGCTAACAAGAGAGATTCAAAAATTTTACACACCAGGCATGAAGTGTGCATGTTTTAGTAACAGCACTTGTAAGGCTGAAACAGAAGTGTGAGTTCAAACATATCCTGGACTCCCTAGTAAGTTCCAGACTAGCCAGGACTATATACCAATAGCAAGACCCTATCTCAAAAAAACAAAAAGTCTTGGATCCACAAAGTTTCTACCAAACTTCCAAAGGAATCTTTATAATATATGCTTCAAAAGAAATGTTTATCCATGCTTGAATGATGCAATAATCAGCTGAACCTGTAAATATTAATAGCTCATTAAATAAAAGAGCACGTTTTTAATCCAAAAGCTATTTGGAAAGATAGAATATTTAATCCTATGCTCCATTTTTTCTCAGCAATCAATCTCAACCATTCTAGTTACTAGTTCCTATAATTTTATTTATTAAATACATGTAAAGAATCAATTTAAGATCCAATAAATGATTCATAATGTTCTGCTCATGAGGTGAGATAAACAATTTTTTTGTGATATATTTTCTGATTAAAAAAGCTATCTCCTGGCCAGGCACGGTGGTGTATGCCTATGATCCCAGAATTGGGAAGGCAGAAGCAGGAGCATGGCAAGTTCAAGTTCAAGGCCAGCCTAGGCTACAAACCCTGTAAAAAAAAAAAAATTAATTAAATTAAGAAAACCCAAGCCAAAAGAGCTGGGTTTATTTTAACAAAACAGAAAAAAAAAAAAGAATTTTCCTTAGGCTAGTCAATTAGAAATAGCATTTCATTTAAAATGAATTCCTCAATTAACATAAATAGCACATATAATTATTTTACATAGCTGCCAGTCCTTTTGGTTTTAACATGTTTATTAACTTAACCTGTGGTATTTGGAAGAACTAAGTCAGACCTAAATGGACATCATCTTTGAAGGACCCATGAATATTCATTTTCAAAGGATCCAGACATATTTATTTCAAGACTAACTAAAGCCATTCCTGTCCTCTGGTCCTGCCTAACACCTATTACCACAACAATCAGTATGGGAAGGATCTTATTTCTTCAAGTAAAATTTTTTTTTAAGATGGTTTATTTCTTCACTATGCTTTTCAAAAATAAAATACCATCAAGGTAGAATAAACAGTGCATATGCATTAAAAGAATCAGATGGGATGACCTGTCATTAATTATATCTTACAAATCTGGCCCAACTAACCCAAGTTTAACATAAATACAGATCAAGAAAATCTATTGTTTGGTGCTTGTATTTGGTTCTGAAATCAAGACCTCATGTTCTTGCTTAGCTTTCTTTCTGCTCAAGGCTGGCACTCTCTCTACTACTTAACCAGCACTTTACTTTCTGATTTTTTTCTGATTAATTAAAGGTTAAGAGTTCCTCCAATTTGCCTGCCCAGACTGGCTTTAAACCGAGATCCTCAGACCTCACTCAGCCTCTTGAGTGGCTAGGATAACAGACACCATCTGCCAATGTCTGGTTTCAATGTAGTCCCTTAAATGACACACTTAGCTATATTGGTTGGAATGGCAGTTCCGAATTTCTACGTTGACTACAAAATCCAAGTTAAAAATCTCATACTTTACATATTGACATATACAGCACTTTCAATTATATTTATCTTGGCTAGTTCACTTAAGTTAATTGCAGTTTTCAAGAGTAGTGAAATACATGGACAATGTAGGGTAGACAATATTCTTTTCTCAGATGTACATTAAAATTGCAGCATGAGATAAACCTAAAATAACAATAGTTCTCCTAATATAATGTAAAAGCCCAGTTCATATGAGATGCATTATTTCAAGAAATGATAAATTGTTAGACACATGGTTGAAAACATTATATATTATTGTTCACAGAAATGGAAATTATATCCCAGCACTTCAATAAGGAGGATGTGCATAATGGAAATGTCTGTCCTGAGAAAACATTATGAAAGCTAATGGGAAGAAGATACAGAGAAGAAGAAAAAAAAAAGATAACCGACTCCTGGTCAGACTGCCAATGCCTCCAAATTTCACTCTGAGAAATGGAATGTGATCAAACTCAGAAAAGAAACCCAAGAAAATGGCTCTCAAGGCTCAAATGCAGAAAATACACATAAGCAACCTGGACCTGGTCCATCAGCAGCTGATTAGAACTCACTAGACTCAGCACCATTCTATAGAGCTGGGGAGTCCCTCAGAACTCCACATCTACAATACAAGCTAAAGATTACCACCATTTATGGGGTGCTCCCTACGTCTGAGGCACTCCACAAACTGTTGACAAGCATTCATCATATCTAACCCGCACCTCAAGCCTACAGCAAGTCTATAAGCCCATGTGTCATTCAAGGAGATGCAGAACAGAGGGGTATGATGTCCAAGTTAGACACACACAAAGTACAGAAGACAGCCAAGGAAGGCATGAACTCCAGCCCAAGAGGCAGTTCTGGAATACCATTTGAAAATGCATCAGACCTTTAAGGCAAAGCAACCAAAAAAGAGCCCAGAACTGGAACCCACTTTTGCTATACACTACATGTATACTACAGTGTCAAGCCTCCTTGTGGGTCTCCTCCCCTTTGGTTTCCTCTTTTTTTCTTTCTTTTGCTCTTTCATTCATTCTTTCTTCATTCATTCATTGGTAGTACTGGAGATTGAATGCAGGGCCTGAATTGAATTCAGGTGGTAGGTGCTCTACCACCTGAGCCACACCTACAGCTCCTTTTGGGTAGGGTCTTGATCTACACCCAGGCTGTCCTGGGCTTTGATCCTCTCACTAGTGCTGCAATGTGTCATTGGAGATGATGGAGAAGCCACTATGCTTCTTCCCCAGCAACTGGACAATAAGCACAAGCCACACCCCTTGCTATTTGGTGAAGTAGGGTCTTACAAGCTTTTATACCCAGGCTGGCCTCAAATTGCAATTCCCTGATCTCCACCTCTCAAGTACTTAAGATTACAAGCTTGGGCCACCACATCCAGCTATGTTTTTTGTGATACTAGAGTCTGAACTAGGGTTTCACATTTGCTAGGCAGGCATTCTACTATCTGAGCCATACTCCCAGCCCTTATATGGTTATTTTTTAGATAGGGTTTCACACTTTTGTCCAGACAGTCATGAATCTACCCAACTGGAATTACAGGGGTACAACACCATGACTGGTGTATTGACTGAGATGGATCTTGACAACTTTTGTCCAGATTGGCCTCAAACAAATCTCCTCCTAATTTCTACCTCTTGAGTAGTTGAGATTACAATTACTATGTAGTTGAGCCACTGAACTTAGTCTCTTCAACTTTAAAACAATCTTTTCTTTCAACTTCTGTACTGACACTTGTTAATTCTCATCCCTAACTTCATAGGTGTTTTTGTCATTTCTATTCTAAAATTTTCAGATTGAAGGTAACTGATTATAACTAGAAATTTTGTATTTTGTCTTGAGACAGAATCTCACTATTTTCCTAGTCTGGTCTCAAACTCCTGAGCTCATTCTCCTGCCTCAGTTTCCTGAGTGTTGGGATCACAAGTATGTGCCACCAGGCCTAGTTAGCAAATGCTTAAAGACACTTATTTAAATCGAGTATTAAATATTATTTTCTATAATAACTATAATTTCAGAAACTTTGTACAGAAGTTACCTGCCATTTCAGTTCATTTGGAAATGTCTGAGGTTTTCTAGATGCAATTGCAGATAAGAAAGGAGCAAAGCATCTGGGTGATAGTTCAGGTTTCTATTATGTCACTAAAAGGAAGTGTACTTTTCTTACAGGTGGCATCTGCTTTGGGTGACAGGAAAGAGAAAAAGTAATTCTCCTGGTTTTATAATGGCATTTGTCCCTGGGCACACCTAGTTTCCTGGTCTTTGTTTTGTCCCTTCACCACCAAGTCTGAGGGATGCTGCCCTGTTCTCCAGAAGTAGCACGGTTCAGGCCTAAGTTCAAGCTCAGGGATGGCCCCCAAGACCAGCACCAAGAAAGGAGGGGAGGGGGAAGAGAAGGGAAGGAAGGGGAGAGAAAGGAAAGGGTAAGAGAGGACAAGAGAGGGGAGGAGGGGAGACAGGCAGGCAGTCTGGCTGGACGGAAGGGAGGAAGGAAGGAAGGAAAGGGAGGGAGGGAGGAAGGGAGGGAGGGAACTATAATCTCAGTGATTCAGGAATTATTATCAAGTTAAATGAATACAGTATATATGAGAATGTCTTATTCATGTACTATTCTTTAGTAGGTGGGCTAGAAGTACAGCTCAATGGTACCATGGTTGCCCAACATCTGCAAGCCAGCTGAGAGGGGGGAAATAAATACTGTAAAATTTATAGTGGATAAATTAAAAACAAACTAAAAAACATTTTCATAGTGGCAAGAATCGCTTTTAAAACTTTACAGTAATTTCCTCTGTGTCCACATGGCTCAAATTAAAATACTGTTCAAGATGAAGAGAAAATGTTTTGATTCTTTTCAGGCTCATTTTTAAAGCTAATCCATGTAATATCTTGGAAGACAACCAGTAAGCATGCTCTTCTCCATGCATGACCCTACTTTACCCACCCAGTCCAGCCTAGCTAGCTCAGACCTTGAGAATAAAAGATTTAGTAAAGCAGAGCAAGACCAAACAGTTCTAAGGTTAGTGTTGTAAACATTATCCCCACCTTTGGTCCTCAGCTCCACCCAGACCTGAGCTCCTCCCAGTCCTGGAGTTCCCCACCATACAGCTGGCCCCTCCCTCTCTGCCCAGACCCAGCAGAGCTCCCACCTACCTTACCTCCTACCCCCACCCCCAGCCCCTCCTGCTACCTGGATAGGGACGGGTGCCAAGTGCTCTCTTTCCAGGGGAAATATGGCTCCTCTAATAAACATTGTAATAATCTTTCTCCTGTGCCTGCCTGCCTCCGCGTGGTCCCCTGGGATGGATGTGATGGAGCCTTTCAAGTGTCAGATCAGAAAACCTTACCTCAGACTCATCTGTAGATTCTTCAAGAGATCCAGTGTCCTACAAAGCAGAGGAGGGAATGGTCAGGAGAGAAAAAATAAAACACATCTGTGTCCTACATCTAAATCCCAGGTGCCCTTTCTGGAAGTTATCTGTAACTGCACTTTAGAGGACCCTGTATGCTGGCCTACTGCATACCTCTTACTGCTTACCCACACCCTGGCAGGCCTCAGCCACCTTACTCTGGGGCTGCCTCAGCCTCCAGGGTCCACGCTTCTATTTTCCCCAAAATTTGACAGCCGAAGACCATTTCATCCAGCAAAGCAGCCTCACTGATCTTGAGGGGGAAATACTATCAACAGACCATCTAAAGTTCATTTTTATGCAGATATTTCTGCATTACTCATCATCATGCTGTTAATCTAGTTAAATCAAATGACTATCTTGCTTAAACAGTTTATTTTTAATAAAGAAACTTCCCAGCAATGGCACCTATGTGGTCCAGCACAAAAAGACTGAATAATTTACATGCACACTACACCATTGGCCCCAAGACAAATTCTGCCCTTTAGCAGAGTTCCTCTCTTGCTAAACAATGAATCTTGCTGCCATGAAAGAAACAAAGCAAAAAGGGAAAAATGGACTTGATCTTGCTAATCTCTCACCCGTCCACTGAAAGACAGAATCTGCTGACACCATGCGTCCTCCAAGAGGTCAGCAAGATGAAGATTTACTTAACGTACTTATAGATATCAATAGCAATAAAAGGTTACTGCTAATATGCTGACACAGAATGTAAGCATTTTACAACAATCCATGAGATGAGGAAAGAAAGAATGAAAACAAATGGGCAAGGACAAATTAGATTTAATATTTCTTCAAGGAAAAAAAAATTTTAAAGAAAACCGGGTACATTTTTTCTTTACTCACTTAGGACTCAATAACAAGATAAGTTCAACTTATTTGACATATTCTAATGGTTTAAAAACTGTTTATTTCATTCATCAAATAGTAAGAAAGCTGAGCGCTGACAGCTCATGCTTGTAATCCTAGCTACTCAGGAGGCAGATGATTGCAGCACAAAGCCAGGTTGGGCAGAAGTCTCCAGTTAACCACCAACAAAAGCCAGAAGCGGAACTGTGGCTCAAGTAGAAGAGCACCAGCCTAGAGCAAAAAAACTAAGGAACAGTGCCCAGGCTCTAAATTCAATCCCCAGGATCCTAGCTTCCTACAAAGCTGAGAACAAGAGATCAACCCAAACAGAGAAGTCTTTGAGAGACCATCTCAATGCAAGAGGCTAGGTATGACAGTATGCTACAGTATCATTTCAGTTATGACAATAAGGCTGAAGCCAAAGGCTTCCAGTGGAACAAAGACCTCCAGAAACAAACATACCTAGACAAACAACTTACCTTTCTTCTTCTTTTTTTTAACCTTCCTTTTGCAAAGCAATTCCTCAAACTCAAATCACCTATTAATGATCTCTACACCATGACATGCAACTTCCCCATCATATTTATCAGTTGCCACCTGGATTATCTTCCCAAAGCACAGATTATGCTGATCAGTGCCTTTCCTCAAAGAGCCCTCCATAGTCTTCATCCTAAAGAACAGAATTCAGATATCCCAGCAAGGTAGTCTGACCCCGACTGTCCCTCAGCCTTTTGGCTAAGATCAAATGCAGCCAGACAAGAGATTTTTAGCTCTTCTACTCTATCCACAAACTTAGGCACCTACTGCCATAAATGGTGGCCTTCTCAATGAGATATCAACTGCTCGTGTTTCTAAATCAGCCTGGTAGCAAAATGCTAGCCTGGGATTGGAGGTTGGTGCGTACGGCTCCATGAAAAAAATAAATAAGAATATGTCTACAGTTTCCACTGTACTTCACTGAGAACTTAGCAGCTATGCCGGCAATGGAATCCATTTCATCCCCCAACATTATTCCTAATATTTTTCTTTTTTTAATCAGTCACGGGGCTTGAACTCGGCCTGGGCACTGTCCCTGAGGTCTTCAGCTCAAGGCAAGCACTCTATCACTTGAGCCACAGCGCCACTTCTGGTTTTCTGGTGGTTAATTGGAGATAAGAGTCTCATGGACTTTCCTTGCCCAGGCTGGCTTTGTACCATCATCCTCAGATCTCAGCCTCCTGAGAGCTAGGATTACAGGCGTGAGCCACTGACGCCCGGCCATTCCCAATATTTTATATGGGGGCAATATATTTCTGCCATTGCCACCTGCTGCTCTGAACTTGTGATCTTTGTCAAAGCTTCCCTGACCCCATTCCCTCTACTGAGCCAGTCTATGGCCCATCTTAGCACTTGTGCTAATATGAATCCAACTCCCAGAACCCTGGGGGGATGGGGGAAGGATGCTGCCAGGCAAGCCAGCTGTCTCACAGTCTCATGTTGCCAATCTGAGGTTTAAAGTTTGAAAATCACCAGCTATTTCTAAATGCTCACCTTCTTTCACAGCCCAACCTAGTCCTTGCCCCTTTCAGCGAATTGTGTCCAAACTGCAAGCCCAAGCCACAAGGTCCAGATCTGGTGTCCTATGGCCTTTCTTTTTTCTGACTGTTCAGTTCAAAGCACCTAAGACCAAATCTTATTCTCATCACAACTATTTTAAATGCATTTTGTGGATAAAATTGAAGGCTCTGGCCACTTCTGTCTCCCACTGTGCTACTCAAGGTCTTCACTCAGCATGTTTGTTGATGATGGCAAGAAGAGACGTGCAGGGACTGAAAACAGGAACTCTGCTCCACCACTCACACCCAGAATTCTCCCTAATGAGTAACAAGTACCTTGTCCCCACACAGAGTTGAACTTGCCTCATGACAGTTACAAGAGGGGATCCCAAAGGAAGGCAACAACAAACAAGGACAAAGCGATTCCAACCGTGTTTACAACCCAGCAGGCCCACTGTGCTCTCAGAAAACCCATGGAAAGGCTTTCAACCAACATCCATCCCTAATGCTGGAGCCAGAACAGGCCTGACAGTGGTGTGGGAACCAAGCACAGGGGGCCCCAGAGGCCAGGAGGGGTTAAGAGGTAGTCCAGGAGAGAGAAGCCAGGCCCTCCCTAAAGACTAGTGACACTGCCAGGATTTGGCAAACATATACATTTTTGAGAACTGGGAGGAGAATGAGGAGCTGAAGCATGAGAGCAGCTCCACACTGTGCTGGAGGCTGACATGGGGCTATGCTGTACGAAGAAAGACAGCAGAGACCCAGTCGCAGGGAGTCAGGCTGGGCAAAAGATGGACATGAGATACTCCACACGGTACAGCTACCTTCCTTCCCTTCCAAACTAACTATGTGTCTAGCTGAGCTTATTGGGAAAGAGGATTATGATGGATCCCCAGTTCTGGCCTGGCCTTAGGAAGGAGGAAATATTTTCTGTGATTTGTATTTGATCTATCATGTCACATAAGTTCTATTTTTTTTTTTTCTGGTCAATTGTGGGGCTTGAAGTCAGGGCCTGAGTGCTGTCCCTAAGCTTTTGCGCTCAAAACTGGTGTTCTACTACTTTGAGCCACAGTGCCACTTGCAATTTTCTGGTGACTAATTAGAAATAAGATTTTCCTGCCCAGGCTGGCTGCAAACTGCTATCTTCAAATCTCAACCTCTTGAGTAGCTAGGATTATAGGCATAAGCCTCCAGTTCCTAGCATAAGTTCTATTTTTCAAAACTCAAAGGAACAAATTTAGGGCACATAGAGACTAGGCAGGTTGAGTAGGAAAGATAATGGAGTATCTGGGGAGCTGGCAAGAGTACAAAAACAAAGAGTACAATGCACTCAATCCACTAAACTCAACTAGTTCATGCATTCTTATTGTACAAAGGAAGAAAAACCTTGAGATCTTGCCCCAGTGTGGAAAAGGACAAGACTACTTTGACACTCTAAATTAGAATCAGGATGAGCTAATTCATATCCACTAATATACTTCAGATTCAGATTCAGCAGGTTTAAAATAAGGAGCTTACATTAGTTAACAAAAACCACAAAGAAGGACGTCAAGAACAGACCAAGGCGGGTGTGAATGAACCACTAGGAAAGGGTCCTGCCCCAGATACAGAAGCCCTACTCAGATGGGTGTCACCTCTCCATGGTGGTAACATGACAGGGTGCTATGGAGACCAAGAAGAAGCACATCAGCCCCCAGCCAACCCACATGAAATAGAAAAACTTACAAAGTAATAAGTGCAGGCTAACTTGAGACTACACTTTAATTTGAGGATAAAGAAAAGGCCCTCTAAAAAATCTGTTGATCCTGTACTCATAACTTTTTTTTTTTTACCTTGAGTTACTGTTAAAATCATTTTTCTAGTCCTAGGACTTGAAATCAGGACCTGGGACTCAAGGCTACTGCTCTAGCACTTCAACCACAGCTCTACTGCTGGCTTTTTGGTGATTAATTGGAGATAAGAATCTCATGGACATTCCTGCCCAAGCTGGCTTTGAACCATGATCCTCAGATATCAGCCTCCTGAATACCTAAGATTACAGGTATGAGCCATTGCTGCTTGGTGGTAAAATTGTTTTTAAAAGATTTGTCTTGGCTAAAATATAAACAAAGAGAACTGTACATATATAAGCTGAGTCCAAACAGAGTATACATGAGCATGGATGTGCCACTTGATAACCCATAAGTGTCTATAATAAACATAAAATTAAATTTCTATAATGGAGAGGTAAAGTAGAAACTCTCCCATCTAGTCAAGGAATAGATAGTCTGATTGCACAAATACTGTAATGGGTCATGTTCAAGGCTCTTTGTGCCCAGAAAATGAGAGGATATCTCTGTGTACAACTATTAAAAGATGATATAAATTAATTAGATAAGCACTAATTTAAAAAGGATATCCAGAACCACAAAAATGAAGGATGCAGAAGATGTAACCTATATTATGTTTGAATTATTAATATTCTAGTTTCAAGTCAGATAAAAAATTCTACTGATCCTAATTTACAATTCGACAATTAGGAGTTATTCTAATAAATGCATTTAGACACCAAGAATCTGGAAAGCCATCAGCTCTGTGGAAGACACAGACATGAGTAAGCACTAGTCCTTAATTCTTGAGGACTCAGCAATCCCTGGGGAAAGATAAGACAAATACACAAACAGCCAGACTTCAAGCTGAGCGTTATTCATGAGAAGAGTGAAAAAATTCTGTTGGGCATCCATGATTATGAAGGCCAACTATAAATCGTTTTGGAGCTAAGTAAAACTGCTGGTTAGAAGATTGCCTGGCAGAATGTAGGGTATTAGTTCTTTCTGTGAACTATAAAATATAAATACTTTTGCAAACTTCCTCATATATTCAGCAAAAGCAAGGACTCCTCAATTGCTTTAAAATATCTGGTCATACTTTAAGAAGTTACTTTAGTTTTAGACTCTGTAAGTTGTTTCTATAAGTATGTTAACTTTCTGCAGATGTCACTGTTTGGGTCATTTCAAAAACTAAAAGCAGGGAACTATCACAAAAGAATACAACTCAGGGGCTGGGAAGATGGTTCAGTAGTAGAGTGCTTGCCTAGCATGCATGAAGCCATTGGTTTGATTCCTCAGAACCACATAAACAGAAAAAGCTGGAAGTGGCATTGTGGCTCTAGTGGTAGAGTGCTAGCTTTGAGCAAAAGAGGCTCAGGGACAGTGTCCAGGCCCTGAGTTCAAGCCCCAAGACTGGCTAAAAGAAAAAGAAAAGAAAGAAAGAAAGAAGAAAAAAAAAAAGAATACAACTCAGGAAAGTCAGTGTTGATAGGTCTAGGTTTTTGTTTGGCACCAGGGAAAATACCTTCTTTTGCCCTCACCATCTTGTTATCTAAGTTCATTTACTACAAATCTCAAGGCCTAAAACACTCAGGAGGAAAAAAGGGAGTCACTGTCATGACTTCCAAAAAGGTTTACAGTGGCCGAACAGAACAATTAGCAAATTTCAATATTCCATTATTGTCAACTTTTGACCTTCAAAAAATTAATGAAAGCCTGCTATCAGATTTTAATCACTTTCTCCTATGAAATTAACTCAAAACACAACCTTACCACAGAGTGAGCAAAGTCAAACTATTTTTAACCTTTAAGGGACTAACAATATAAGAACACTTATGTGTTAGCTTTCCTTACAAGAAAAAAAAAAGGAATATATTTATGTCAGGCTCTATCTGCAATTGACATCAGACCACTGGTCTTTTCTAAGAACGACACTGACACTACATAGGAGGCAAATGCTCATTCCAGCCATGTACTGCTGCTTACGTATCAAAGGTGGAATAATGGCTAGAAGGATAACCACTTAGGTCACAGGTGCTAATTCTATTTCATAAACAACAAAAACAAAAAAAAAGTTTCATTCTCACATATTTTTTTAAGCAGGATGCTTTAGTGAAGAAAAAAATCATGAACTTTGGAGACAGAAGACTAAAATCCACTACAGATGTACGCCTGCATATGTTCTTCAAGTCAAGTGAAGTTTAGCCAGTTAAGTATCAAGTACAACTTAAGTACCAAGCCATAATCCAAATATGCCATATAATTTATATTCTAATAGAATATACACAATGATATAGGAAGTAAATAGAAATTTTACAACACAGTATGTCAAAGAGTAGTGAGCATAGGAAAAAATAATACAGGAAGGAGGCCTCAAAGACTGGTCAGGAAGAGTCTCAGTCAGGAAATGATAGAAAGCCCTGAAAATATGAGGTCCCTAAAGGAAGATTAGCCTTAGCAAAGGTCCTGATGTAGGACCATGCCTTACTGGTTGAAGGAAGACCATGTGGCTGATACAGTGACAAGAGGGGAGGAAGGAGCACAGTGAAAAATAAGAAGAGAAATGTGGTATAAGAGGTGGCAGGGACAAGGTCTTCCAGGCCAAACAAGTACTGTAAGAACACTGGCAATTACTAAGCATGATGGGAAAGCACTAAAAGGTTTGGACATAGGAGGTATTTGGTCCCATTTACATAACAATATAAACATGTACCTCAGAATTCTTTGGACAGGAACAAATACAATGTGAAAGGGATTTCTAAGCTTTTAAAGTGCTGTAAATACGGGAAACTTATCCTCTCTCGATATGATGATATATAGATAAATATCTAGATAGAGCTATACCTCACATTAGACAGCTTTGCAAACATGTCTTCCACACAAGAGTGGTAAACATCAAGGACAAATCTTTCCGTTTCCCTACACTGCATCTAAGAACTTAAGGAACTTGTTTTATTTTGTTTTTAGTTGGGGGGAGGGTTGTTTTTGTAGTAAATCATGAACAATTACAACTCAATATGACATAATAAGAATGAAGTGAAAAACAATCTCATCATTAATCAAACTGAGCAGTAACAGGAAATGGTGCATTCTTAGTGTTTTCCCTTAGACTGGTGGAGTGACTCAAATGATAGAGTGCCTGCTAGCAAGTTCTATGCTATGAGGCTCTAAGTTCAAACCACACTATCACACACACAAAAAACATTTTCCTTTGATCTGTCCAGAATAGAAGAGGGGAGGCAAAATGTAAGAGATTTTGTTATGAAAAACACCAACCAAACTAAATTTCTACTTGGCCAAATTTCTTCATTACTCCTATATATAGTGTATATATGGCATTTTTAACTATGAAAGTATTATACAAATGATAAAACTTACTAAATAAGTAAATGTCTGATATTAAATAGCTCACCATCACATCACTTTTTAGAAGCAATCACTCATGGAATAGTGAGGGAAAACTGCTTCAAAGTGAAATGACACTAAAAATGGAAACTTCAGTGATCTCTCCCAAGGTCTGGCCTAGATATTCTCTTTTTTCTCATCCTGATTTTATTTTGTCCTTTCATCATGTAGCCACCATCTCGCTGCATAAAAACAATACATTATTTCATTATACATCTCTACCAGAACTCCAATGCTATGTCACTAGTTGTTGACTGGACACTGCCATCTTTATATATTGCCTTCTTTATATAAAATTAATGGAAGGGAAGGGGAAGAAAGGAAGATAGGAGGAGAGAGGAAGGAAAAGTAGGGAGGGAGGGAAGGAAAAGGAAGGGGAAGGAAAGAAAGAAGGAAGGAAGGAAGGAAGGAAGGAAGGAAGGGAGGAAGGAAGGAAGGAAGGAAGGAAGGAAGGAAGGAAGGAAGGAACTTTAAATTAAGGGGGAAAAGGGGAATATGTTGTAAATTTATCTCCAGTGAAAAATAGCAAAATAAGTCGATTAAACTTTCACTGCGCCCAGCCCTTTTAAGCACTTTATAAAGTAATTCCACCTCCACGTCTTCTCGAAGGACAAACCAAGTATTATCTCCATCTTGTATCTGAAAGCTAAATAGTTCAGTCACGCTTTTTTCTTTTTCTTTTTAAGAGTTGGCACTAGCTTTGTGCGAAGGCTCGTCTGCTCCAGAGTCAGTACTTAATCCCGGCTTCACCTCCCGTCGCCTGCCTGGGCTCTGGACCTACAGCCAGCAGGAACAAGACACAACACTCTTCACCTACTCTCCCATCTCCCACGGTGCTCGGGGTTGACCTCAAACCTCAAGACATCCCTTCCCGCTCCCCCGGACAGCAGGTCCAGGGGGTGGCAGGGCCTGGCTCCAGGACAAAACCTCACGGACACCGGAGGCTCAGAGGCCGGAACCGAGGAGAGGACGCGACCGCAGACAGGCCGCCCCGGACCTGGGGGCGGGCGCTCTCCCCAGGCCCGCCCGGCTCCCTAGCAGGAACTTCCGCCGCCCTTCCCCATCCCGTCCCGGGCCGGCCTCGCTCTCCCGCAGACCTCCGCGCGCCGCCCCGCGCCCACACTACAGTCCATCTACCCGATCCTTGTGCTCAGAACCAGCGCTGGTAGCTTTACCTGTTCCTCAGCTTCCGCCATGGTACTGCCGGGGAGTCACATGACCTACCCGGAAGTGAGGGGGCCCCAGCGCTTGGCTCGAGGCCTGCTGGGAAATGTAGTTTCAGCCGCACCTGCCAAAGCCACTTCATCTAGCTCGGAAAAGTAGTTGAGAATGGCTTTGGAAAATGCAGACAGAACCATTGCTGATGCTATGATTTGTTCTGTTGTTGTTCTGCTTATAACGTTTATTAAGCACATACTCTAAGAGCGAGCCCCGGTTTTATAGGTGGCATTAAGTTGTTTAGACCACTCCACAATTCCTTTTTGTTATCCCCATTTGTACGAAAGAACAGCGTGCCCCAGAGGTCACACTAGAGTCAGACTCTGTCCCTGTCTGATGCCAGAAACTCATTTTCATCAAGGTCTGTTCAGTCTAATATTTGTGCCACCCACTACCACAGTCCCTTTCTTAACTATATTAAATGACTGTAAAGTGATTTTTTTTTACCTTGAAAAGCCAACATAATATTTAACTTGTACTACTGGCTACTTTTATTTATTTTTTTTATATTTATTTTTTTGGGGGGGTCCAGTCGTGGGGCCTGAACTCTGTGCCTGGGCACTGTCCCTCAGCTCTTCAGCTCAAGGCTAGCGCTCTACCACTTGAGCCACAGCGCCACTTTCTGGCTTTTTTTTCTTTTTGCTTATATGGTGCTGAGGAATCAAACCCAGGGCCTCAGGCATGCAAGGCAAGGGCTCTAACCACTGAGCCACCTTCCCAGCCCTACTACTGGCTACTTTAAAATACATCCTTTTGACATAGTGAAGTAAGATGGCTGAACCTAAATAATTTCTTGCAGCCACCCTGGTGCTTAGGAAGGAGACTGGAAGCTCTTCACCCAGCTCCAAGGCCTAGAGGTGAGACAAGCCATCCTTTGAAGTGCAGATGCCTGGCTCAATGGGCTGAGCTAGAAGGACTCTGTTATGGAGAAATGCAGAAGTCATAGCCTTAGGAAAGCTGATTCTGCATTCATTAGCTTCCTAATTGGCTTGAATCACCAGCTTCTGAGTAACCTCTAGGTAGAGCCTATATGGAAGGTTAAGGTCTATCTTGCCTAGATGGAAAAGTTTCACTGATACCTGAGTATGTTCATTTAAGGTCTGGCAACTTGTCTTCATGGTGGGGGAGGGTGATGCACCTGCCGGCTCCCCCCACATCCCCCACCAGGTGATAGTCCTTCCTGGATCTCTAGAGACAGGGGTGGGCACTTGGCTGAAAGGTTGCTGAATCTGTTAGTCCAGTGCTTGGGACTGGACTGTGTCCTGTGACCCTGCCCCCGCTACCCAGACCCTATTTAGGCCTGGACCAGCTTAGGTGCAGGAACACCATGCCCTGTGTCTTCCTGATCCAGGCCTGTGTCCTGTCTCCTGGCTCATCTCCCGTCATCAGGATGTCCCAATTCAGCTCTTCATCGGAGCTGAATTGGCTTGTTGGTATTATTTTTGTTCTTTCCTCTCTAACATGTTTCCTAGCTGTGTTATGTGGGGCTGCAAGCCTTTGTAAAAACTGTATAATAAAGACTCTAATATTTCATATTCCAAAATGTGGCTTCTGGGATGATTCGCCTTACAACAATAGGAACACTGAATTTTTAAAAAGCTGTATTGTTATTTTGCTAAACGTTTGCATGGTGTCTTTTATAGACAAATATTCAAATAAAATATAAACATATGGTTTATAGTATCTGTAAAACTGCTGTATCGCTACCATCATGAGTTCTATTTTAATTCTTCAGATACCTGTGCTGACTTGTCTGGAAACAGTGTTTTCTACTCTACAATTACTTGAGTAGTTGGCTACTCACAGAGAACTTCATAGTGGGAAACCTGTGACAGATGCCTCTATGCCTTTTTTTCCCCCTCTTTTCCTTTTTTTTTTTAACTTCCCATGCCACATTGACTCAGGACTCTGTTTCTCCAAGTCTCTAGCTGTGGCTTGCAGAACCTCTGATTTGTCAGTGGTCTAGAAGCGAAATCAATGACATCTTCCTGATACTTGTCTTCCCCTAAAGCCTAAATAACTTCCAAACCCTACTGAGGTCCCTTTTCCAGACTGCTAACCTCTCAGCCACAGGGCATAGAAAGTAGACAGACTGAAGCATTTAGGCATACATATAGGCAATCACCACTACCCTGAATTTCAGCCTATCCATCCAAGAGTTTCTCATATTTGTTACGAAGCAACCCAGGATCAAACATTCCTTAAGATGAACCCCAAGTCTAGAAAGATATTTAGATACAGCAAAAACTCTATAGAAAGAATCTGAGTAGTCTCCAAAGGAAATAGAAATAAGCCTAGCTGTTCTCTACTTTCTTCACAAACTGTCAATTTCCTTTTTCCATTATGAGCTAGATCTACCCAGAAACTTCTAGGCCTACAGCTTTTTCAAATTGACAATCTCCTCTGCTTGGTGAAACACAGACGTGATCAGGATAAGGAAGGGAAAGGAAAATAGGCAATTATTATGGCTGTCTCCCCCTCCCCAGCCCCAAGGTATTTTTGTTTTATTGCTCAATTTTATTTTGGAGAGGATAAGCCAAACAGCACCTCCAGAAAAAAAGAGTGATTAAATGCTGCAGAAATTGCCACTGAAATCCAAAACAAGATTTTGCTTTTATTCTCTGAAAATTCTGTTTTTCTTTCCAACAGTCATGGCCCTTTAAACTTTTGAGGCCTGCACAATCCAAGGAAGATGCTGGCTTTTATCTCTCCTTGTAGGCTGGCACACTGCCTGTTAACCTTGCCTGGCCTCTGAAGCCAACCAACCAAGCTATATCTTCTCCTGTACCACTGAATCTGGTTCTGTGCCTATGATACTGGGGGGAGGGGGGGGGAAGGAAGGGGAAGGCAGGCATCAAAAGCCTTACATGAAAAGATCTGTTGAGACTACAAATCAGCCCCTTGCCATGGTCACTGCTCCTGACATTCCTATCATTTTTTTCCTCCCTGGTAGACAGAGAGCCTTGGGTTTAAATGTAGAATCTTCCCAACAAATTCTTCAAGGGACATACTTCTTTTATCTGTCACTCAGATTCTGCTGGGAGACTTCCTCATCAAGATTGCAAACTAAATTGGATGCTTACTCTGGGCTCTTCTAGGCTTTCTACTTTTCCAACAAAAATTCTATCATCAAGCCAGGTACCAGTGGCTCACACGTGTAACCCTATCTACTCAGGAGGCTGAGATCTGATGATCATGGTTTGAAACCATCCCAGCAGGAAAGTCCTTGAGACACTTATCTCCAGTTAACCATAAAAACAGCTAGAAGTGGAGCTGTGGCTCAAGTGCTAGAACTCTAGTCTTGGGCAAAAAGGCTCAAGGACAGTGCCCAGGCCCTGATCAAGCCCCAGAACTGGCACACACACACACACACACACACACACACACGCACGCACGCATGCACGCATGCACAAATTATGTCATGTGTTTTCTTCACTTAGTTATAATTCAAGATCACTTTCCAAAACATTGTAAAATATGTCCTGAAACATTATTTTAATGGCATATGTTATAATTGCATTCTATGAAAAAATCATAATTCATATTGTTATTCTTTTTGTATACTTTGAGTATAAATAGGTAATTAGCATTACTGTTGCCCAATTTGTAAATATTTCCTCAGAAAAGTATGTTGAAATATAATAGCTTGGTCATTGCAGCCTTGGAAGTTATCATAAAAGTTATCATAAAAGTTCACTGAAACGCAGTGATTTTGAGTTATTGGGTTTTATTCATCTTCTGGATTCATGCTATGTGTTTTTCTAACAAGTAGTTCAAATCTGTGTTTGAGTGTTCTTCGGACAAATGAGCAACCAACTTGCTTGTGACCTTGTTTCTAATATTGTTAATAGAGAAGCACAATACTAATTTTTTAAACTTATAGAATGAATTTAATCTTTTCAGAATCCAAATATATCACACTGTGCCAGGAAAATGTATTATTTTCCAAAGAACATCTTTCATTTTCAATCAAAATTTTGAAGCAAAATATTAAGCACTCCTGCTCTTGGATTCAAATATGATTTGTGAAGCAATGTCTATTTTTCAACTTCAGGTATGCTTGCAGAACAAACCTTTGTTTCCTATGTATCTTGAATCCTTTAGATAGCAGCAAAAACTTGATATAGTAGAGAAGGAAGAGAAAGAACGAAGTGAAAGGTTTTGCTGTGCTGACAATGGCAATCCTCAATTTATGTTCTAAGATTTAACATTGTTATACGGTGAGAAAACAGAGAAGCCACATTTTGAGAGGTAGAATCAGGAGTCTTTATTTGAAGGCCAGCAAATGCAGGCAAACTCCTGTCACAAAGACCTGCAGCCCTGTAAATATACTTAACACTATTAGAAAACTGAGACAGGAGAGCAGGAGAGGAAGGAAAGAGCAGCAGGACCAGTAACCTATTGTCCAAATCCCCACCCCTGCCTCTAAGAATTCAACCATGCCCTACATGGGAGAGGAGACTTCCCTGCCTCCACCATGAAGACAAGATGGCACCAGTTAAACCCAATACCCTATCATCCACCACGTGGCTAAGATGGCACCGGTTAGATTCAGCATCTCTACTTCAACATAACCAGTATGTTAATGGGTTGGAATTTAATATACACTTAAAAAAAACAGTAATACAAATGCTTCTAGTCAGGAAGCCACAATGCAGTTGAATCTATATACAATATGAAAATAATAGAAAATATTATTCTACTGTTAAAAGTAATCACTTTTTAACTTCCTACTTTTTAAACCTACTTCCAATATTAGTTTATAAACAAAACCAAATCTATTTACCACAGAGCTCATGTTTATTACTATGTGCTGGGGCTTGAACTCAGGGTTTCTAGCTTACTGGGGGGTAGTCTGCCACATCAGCCACATCCTTAGTCTTTATTTGTTCTTGTTATTTTTTGAACAGGGACTCACTATTTGCCTGGACTGGTATGGACCATAATCCTCTTATTTATGCTTCTTTATAGCATGGCTGTCGTGTACCCACAA